ATTATCCAGAATCAGAAACTCGTGTACTTTGTGCACAAAAGTTTTATTAACTAAACACTAACACAAACTAGTCTAACAAACATTCACACACTCACGCATACACAGGGGAGTTAAAGTGGATTAATGAAACCGTTAGAGAAACCAGAGAATGCAGCTATGGAAAACGAGTCAGTTAACCACCTGAGAAGAAACAGCTAATCGTTTATAACGTGGTCTACAGCTTACACTAAACCTCTGTTTTGTTTAGTTAAATGTACGATACTTGCATTGCCTTGGCCATTGAACGAATGTCTAGATGTAGTCTCAGATGAAAGTCTTGATGGTTTAAAGGCTTGGTGGTGTTGGAATTGCGATCACGTTCTACCGGGTTTGAAGAGTGATGAACTCCAAAGATGTTATTCTGACTCAGTGGTGGTCCTCCAGGTGGAAATTCGCAACATGGCTGGTTCTGCGGGTGTGTGGGAGGTCCCGTGGGTCGCAGTCAGACCGGATGTCAGAGAGACGAGAGGGTAAGAATGCCAAAGAAAATAGAGAAGAGCGAGGGCACTGATGTGAGGCCTTTTAACTTCTATGGAGGTCACACCTCCAGGGGGTCGTTGAGCCAAAGGTGACTCTTTGTCTTTGAACATTGTATCTTGCATATGCAAATGGTTTGGGTGTTGATGCAAAAACTATTAAAAATTCCTAGAACACTAACATGTTGCATGGGTATCAACATAAACACTTCCATTTAGATAATCAAAATACGAATTTGTAGATACCAACTTGGTATAGGTGAGGTTACAGTAACTAGTGATTCTATCATAAGAATGCATAAAAAAGTATACAATACAAAAAACAATTTACAACAATATAAAGAACTGTGATAACACACACAAAGAAAGGTTTGTCTACGAATTAATGAAAGGAGTCCTTATAGGCAGTATGTGTCTGTTTCAGAGGGAATTAAGTAAGAGGGAGAATCTTTCGACATGTCATTAGGTTGTAAAGTTTATCTGGTCTGGCTGAGGTGTCCTGGTTGCCATGGTAACCAGTGGTCTGGGGGGTTGTTCACAGACATCACAGCATCTGGTCTGATTGTTGGGTAAGGGGGTCTCTTGGATTATTTGTAAAATATAACAAATAATTGTGTGTCTGATTTATCCAGGTGTTACAGCGGTAATCAATAGCATGTTCATAGAACTTAAGCATAGCATAAGAACCTGAACCCTGAATGCTCTTTTAAAATAAGATACAGTGTTTTCTCATATTTTAATATAAGAAAATGAACAAAAACTTCATGCAGTAAAAGTACAGGCTGCATAATCTCAACATAATCTCTGCCAGAACTTTTGCTTAATCATCAGTGATTTTCTCTCTTCCTTGTCCTTCTGTCTTTTGCGGTGACTCACTTTTTGTCTTTCCTTTTTCTCCTTTCCTTCCTCTCCTCCACCTCTTCCATCTCTCCTTTACTTCCTTCCTCTCCACATTACTATCTCTTCCTATCTCTCTTTCACTCACTCTTTCTTTCTGACCCCTGGCACTCTCAGTACTCGGATGAGAGGCTACCTAACACTGTGCAGTGTGATCAGGTGTTGTTGAGTAAGCAAGATAGACAGCCCATCTTCAGCGGTCAGCTTAATGCTGTCCTCCTCCAGTGCCACGTCCTCGTGACCTGAGCAACTCCTTTAGACCAAACCCAGCTAGCAGAACTACTACATTACCCTTGCTACACATCTGCAGACCTCCTAACTCTTTTTCTTCTTTTTAAATGTAATTTTACATTTTGAAGGTTGTATGCAGGACAGGAAATTAACTTTTCTTTCAGCTACAATAGTATGTTCACCATTCATTTCTCTTTTTTCCCTCAGATTCAAACAAGGCACTCCATTTTTAGCAGAAATCACTAAATCTTGACAGCTGTAATCTCATATTAATTGACTCTTTAAAAGAAAACGTACATTATAGGCTGCTTGCACCCTGAACATTGATCTAATCAGAATGTACACATAAACAAGTGTACTATGTAGCAACAGCATTTTTTTCCCCAAGGCCAGTGTGAGCTATCTTAAATGTTTCCCACCACAGAGCTGGTCCACCCACAACTGTGAAAAAAATCTCACTTGGCTGGTGACAGTTGTTAATTTCCCACCGTAATGGAGTGCACTGGAACTCTAAGGCTGTGTTTACCCAGCAGCAGAAAGTGGTTATCTGCCAGTTGTCAGTTTTAGTGTGATTAAATATAGTTACATTCACACACAGTTTGTTTATTAATGACAGTGAAGTCCACATTCTGTAACCAAATTGACTCCCTTACACTTTCAGAATTCACAACCTAATTTTGAGAGTGACTTTGATTAGTCTGTGCTGTGATCAGAACTGCACTGGGCATCTAGTTGGCCATCACTCCATACACTGCAATAGTCACTCTGCACTGCACGCATGCTTATCATGTGGGGCTCTGGAGATATTAATGGTAAGTCATCTGAAGTTTCAGCTCCAGATGCTGTTTCCACTGTTGTCTTCTTAAAAATAAAACATTCAAAGCCAAAGTCAGATAAATAGGATTTGACAGGTGAACTTGAGCCTTAGTTGGATTCATTTATTAAATAAGATCATGATAATTGTGGTAAGAGTTTCTAGTGTTAGGGAAGATACCATCTTTAATATTTACTTTAGATGCTGATTTCAGATGTTGCTCCCAGCTATTGCCTTGACTTTGATTATTCATTCATATAGAAGCTGTTGTATATTGTAAAGAAAAATTCGAGATTAGCCTATGTGAGGGGTTTTCTCGCACCTTTGCTGATAATAATCGGTTCTCTCTCGCTCTGTCTCTCTCCTCCTCTATAAGGAGATTTGTTGTTGAATAAAGCCAAACTCTCTGCAGAAGCCAAGTGCTCCATAAAACTGTGAAGGTGTAAAACAGCCTCTGCTATAAAGAGAACAGGTGTGTGTGTGTGTGTGTGTGTGTGTGTGTGTGTGTGTGGTTTACGTTTCTATACCATCTCCACCTTGCGTGAAATTGGGCGCTGGGAAAACAGAGAGGGTGATCATTGATTAATCAGTATACGTTAATGAGCTACATCGATTGAGAGACCAGTAGACTCAGCGCCAACCTCAGAGGGTGTGAGACCACGACGCCATCTTAGAGCAGCAAGGGAACCCATCCTAAACCAGAGACTCAGGGAGACAGGTGTGCGTGAGACAGATGTGAAGGGTGTTGCAGGTACAGCAGGGGCTTGACATTGTTATGATGGATGTATATGGATCACTGACCTGACAATGCATCAGTGATCCCATGAACCCACACTGCTGTGGCTAGGTGACGCCCACTAATTTGTCAAGTTTTGGCCACTTCAGTTCACCCACAGTGCTATGGATTGAATTTTGAAGCACAACTCGCATGTCACAACTTGAGGTATTCAGAAGGACTTCCTCGCTGAAAAGTACCAGCAAAGGCTAACAGGCCATATTAACCATCCAAACCTTAACCCCTGGTAGATAAGCACTAAATCAGCACTAACAAGAATAAACTTGTCTAGACAAGCATGAGGATTCAAATCTTTGCAGCAGGATTAGATGTAAGTGTTAGGATAAGGAAAGACCTGAAGCAGAAATATCACCTATGCTAGCAATGCAATATTATATGTCATTTCCTGAGCCAGTTTTTGTGTGTTTGCATGTGTGAAAATATATTTGCATTTCAGTATGTCTCTAAATCACATTATGCTAAAGGTACTATATTAAAGGATTGTAAATATTACAGAATATGGTCCCAGGAGCAGGACAGGCTATCAGTGTTACTTATCATAAAAATACATGCACACGTACTCTCCCTTTCACATTCATTTCTGTTTATACCCATATTTTTTCTGATGATTGCAGTGTTGTGCATTTCATGTTCATTGGTAAAAGAGGCGGATAAAGAGGAAGATTAATATCCCTGACTATAATCATTTTCGTTTACGTACAAAACACCCACTCTCTCTCTCTCACTCTCAAATACTCACACACTCCCTCACTGACTTATCTCTTTATCCCTTCTCTCTCTCATTTTGTTTTTACATTGACAGTTATTTTATTCATTATGTAGTCTATAAGGCTGTGGCATCAATTGCACAATGTCATAAGCATTTGGTCCCCCATCTTTATCGAAAGATATCACAAAACTCACAACCAATGGCGGTGACACCAAACAGAGTTGTTCTTGTTGCAATAAAACTGGTAGTCAGAGTTGTGGACACTGGTGTTTTGCATTTTTGCCCTGTAGGTTGGCATAACAATCGCAGAGCTTCTGTCTCAGTATCAGTGCTGTAATCAGAGAGCATGCTGGGGTTTTTTTTTTTTCTGTTTGGCCAGTGGCAAGGTTACCGGAACTAAAACATGACCGGAGTCCAACTTCCAATTTCATGGCACCACTGAGTAACAATCTTTTATGAAACAGTTTAAATTAAATATTAATATGCAGACATGCTTGCCCATGTGTGGACATAGAAGAGATGATGTGTCTCGGGGTAATAATTAGCATCCTAAGGGCAGGTCTTAATGCAACCCAGAATAGCCTATGTTTGTGGGACGCTTTGAAAGACTGTAAATCACACCTTTTAAAGGGCTTGCCTCTTCCGGCTCTGTTCATGTCATAAAATAGCAGTCAATCCCCTTCCTCCCTTATAAAAGTCTGAATAAATCCCATAACGTTGCAACTTAATGAGCTTAGTGGTTTTCTCCTTTATGTGACCTATGGAGCATTGCTTTACATAGACAACTGTTTTTCAGACCAGACTGTATTTCAGCATTGTATCCTTACATTTGTACCACAAACAGCTTGAACTCGAGTGCGACTGTGAAGTGTCAATGGAGAAGCCAAGAAGAATGACATCAGTTTGAAACTTTAGGTCAAAACATTTTTCGTTCTGCTGTTTTGCAAGAAAGCAGTTACCTTTCGTTTTTCTTAAATTGGTGGATTTGGTTCCACCAGTTAAGAGTGGTTAAAAAAGAAAAGTTATAAATGAACCTACCTGGTCTTTTTTCTGTTCTTCCTCTGCGGCCGCCACATAACCGTACTTTTGATATGAGAACAAGAATTTGTTTCTGGCAAAGGGACTTGTTGCTCTTGGGGCAAGGCTTGCGTTTGTTGGCTATTGGCTGGTTGGCTTGGTCGCCCTTGACTGCCCGTTTTTGTCTGATGAGAGAACTGGCAAGAGCTGCCATCTTCCCCCCCCCCTCTCACCTTTGGGAGGGGGGTCTCTGTTTGCTTAAGAGACGCTCTCTGGATGCTCTTGTCTTTTTACCAGCAGCACAAAGAGATAAAAGTCAGGGGTCAAACCTCGCACGGCGAACCAAGAATTCAGGTAGGTTCCTCACGTGTCCGTGTGTTTCCCTCCAGTAAGGGAAGAGGTTAAGTTCTGGTCCACTCACAACCTGTCCATGGTTTGTCCTTCATTATGTTTGTTTCGCTAAATACATATTGACACCACAACAAATCCGTAAAATGAAAATCGACGCGATCACATTTCCACAAAAAGGTACAGAAAGAGGCTGACAAAGTCATTGTTGCGACATTGCCGACATATTCTCCCCCCCTCTCTTCTCCCTTCCCCTCCCCTTGTGTCTTGTTCCTGAAGACAAAAACACTAAACAAAGCTAAAGTTTAGCACACAGAAACGATGAGCTTTCTCACCCACACATGGCTGGTCCTCGTGGAAAGTTCTTCACTCACCAGCAGCAGAATTATTTGATTCAAATCAGGAACAGATCCTGTCAGAAATGGGCAGATGGTCAGCCTGTAGTTCCTATGGCTAACTTTAGTTGTGCTGGGGGGAAAATAATAATAATCTGGAGTGGTAATCCAGCACTCCCACGTCCAGAGGCACTTCTGCTTCAGCTGCTGGGATGGACAAAGCCTTGAGTCGCAGGACGTGAGCCGGCAAAAGAAGAATGGACTCCGAGAAATTTCCCTTCTGCCTCTTCTGGCACGCGCTATCTCTCCCCACAGCCCTACATTGCCCCCCCTCCCCCACCCCACCCCAAAGCCAGCAAGCGTGTGTGTATGTGGGTGTGTGTGCAAATCCAGCGGCTACCACCAGTAAAGGTGACATTCATGGGAGAACAAGTAAGGGAGGGAGAGCGAGTGCAATCGAGTGAGGGAAGGAGAGCGAGAGAGGGTAAAAGAGAGTGGGAGAAGAACAAGAATGATGAATGAGAACAATGGAGAGGAGAAAACAGAAAGATGAAGGGAGAGAAAAAGAGGAGGGTGAGAGAGAGTTAACGCTACTGTTCTTCCTTCACTCTGCCGTGTCTGTCCTTGATGGGGTAGAGTGGACGAGAGAGAGAGAGCGAGAGAGCGCTTTAGGTGCCAATGGTGACAGTTTTCAGTCACCTCAGGAAGAACATTGCAGTCGTGCGTTCCGAGTCAGTTATCACTGCCAAATTCACACACTCGCACACACATTTATCCCCCTCACCCATCTCTCTCTCTCTGATACACACATCCTCATGTACACAATCACTTTTAGGAGATTAGGATTGTACCACTTTTATTGGTTTAGCGTTCAGTTTCGTGCAGTCTGTGTGCTGGGAGTGCTTGATTCTCTTCTCCCTTCCCCTCCCCTTGTGTCTTGTTCCTGAAGACAAAAACACTAAACAAAGCTAAAGTTTAGCACACAGAAACGATGAGCTTTCTCACCCACACATGGCTGGTCCTCGTGGAAAGTTCTTCACTCACCAGCAGCAGAATTATTTGATTCAAATCAGGAACAGATCCTGTCAGAAATGGGCAGATGGTCAGCCTGTAGTTCCTATGGCTAACTTTAGTTGTGCTGGGGGGAAAATAATAATAATCTGGAGTGGTAATCCAGCACTCCCACGTCCAGAGGCACTTCTGCTTCAGCTGCTGGGATGGACAAAGCCTTGAGTCGCAGGACGTGAGCCGGCAAAAGAAGAATGGACTCCGAGAAATTTCCCTTCTGCCTCTTCTGGCACGCGCTATCTCTCCCCACAGCCCTACATTGCCCCCCCTCCCCCACCCCACCCCAAAGCCAGCAAGCGTGTGTGTATGTGGGTGTGTGTGCAAATCCAGCGGCTACCACCAGTAAAGGTGACATTCATGGGAGAACAAGTAAGGGAGGGAGAGCGAGTGCAATCGAGTGAGGGAAGGAGAGCGAGAGAGGGTAAAAGAGAGTGGGAGAAGAACAAGAATGATGAATGAGAACAATGGAGAGGAGAAAACAGAAAGATGAAGGGAGAGAAAAAGAGGAGGGTGAGAGAGAGTTAACGCTACTGTTCTTCCTTCACTCTGCCGTGTCTGTCCTTGATGGGTAGAGTGGAGCAGAGAGAGCGAGAGAGAGCGCTTTAGGTGCCAATGGTGACAGTTTTCAGTCACCTCAGGAAGAACATTGCAGTCATGCGTTCCGAGTCAGTTATCACTGCCAAATTCACACACTCGCACACACATTTATCCCCCTCACCCATCTCTCTCTCTCTGATACACACATCCTCATGTACACAATCACTTTTAGGAGATTAGGATTGTACCACTTTTATTGGTTTAGCGTTCAGTTTCGTGCAGTCTGTGTGCTGGGAGTGCTTGATGTTTCCTGAAGGTCTAAATCTGACGCAAACAGAAAGACTTTCTCTGTCTTATCTATCTTTTTCTTTTATCCTCTTTTTTACTCATTTACTTTATTGCTGTTCGTCTCAAAGCCCCCCCACCCA